TTACGGCAGCATTTCCGAAGTGATTCAAAATATTCTATCGGCTAATTCTAATTTTTCGCGTTGAATAATAATATTTTGGAACAAAGTTGGAATTAAGGCTGGAGCTGCATGCTGTGAATTTATCACACCTGCAGTCTTCCCTTCCTACATGTATATGAAGCATCTGTTGAGTAATGAATCAGAGAGCATAATATGCGGAACAAGTTTGATTGAGATTTTTACTTTTCCTTTAAGATAAAATGATTAATAACATAATTTATGCATCTAATAGATACATATAAATGTACATGTATAGCTTTTTAAAAACAAGAATCTGTAATTGAAAATGTGAAAGTGAAGAGTTTAGGTAATAGTTCTTAACCAACATTTAATGACAGTTCATTCCTTCCTAGTCTCTATATAACTTTTAATTACGGCCGATTAGCTCTCCCCTTCAAAAGATGTCTAATACATGCTTTTAAATTCTGTTAATGTATCAAGAAATTTCCACAGGTACTTGTGGACAGGATCCCCCCCCCCCCCCCAAATTCAACCCCAATGTTTGTTGGACATTTTTTTCCACAAATTATATTTATTACACTTATTCATCATGTGTACCATAGGAAAAAATCGAGTACAAGTACCTGTGGAAATTTCTATTTGCCCCCCCCCCCTTCCCAAAGAAACTGAAATTGTTTTCTACGGGCTTGACAACAGGTACTTGTGGACAGACCCCCCCCCCCCCGATATTCAACCCCGGGGCTTGTTGGACATTTTTTCCACAAATTATATTTATTGCACTTACTCATCATGTGTACCATATGAAAAAATCGTGAAAACCCCAAAATAATCGTTCCACACAAAAATGCCTCACTATGTATAGTTAAAACATTAATTTTTCATATTTCTTGATGAAATTAACATTAATAAAATCAACACAAAATTAATACCGTATTACATATCACTTGAATTTATCATAAAGCAGAAAATCTGTTTATACGGGCTTCAAGGCCAGCTCAGGAACCTAAAGATGTCCTCATTTTCCAAGTCCAGTACAGAACGTAAATTAAATGAAATAAATCACACGATCACTGGGAAGAACTCAAAGAAAGAAGACTCTTGAGGAAAAGATATTTTGATTCGACTTATAGACTGAAATAAACCGATATTCTCTTTTGCCACTCTTTCCTGGTGCCCTGGGACTCTGAATGTAGGATCAGTATTTTTCTCACAGGTCCGATGTACGGATTGTACGGGGGGGGGGGGGCAGACCTTCTGAAAATAGTCTTTTGTTGTAGTTTTAATATGTAAATTTTGATTTAGTTGCTGCTTGCACCCTCCCCACTCTTTGTTTCTCTACGGTCATACATAGGCGAATCCCAGCAAAAATGTAATGACCCCCCCCCCCCCCCAACACACACTTTTTTTTTAAATGTGTATTGCGATAGGACTTAAAATTGGAAAACATTTTCTGTATATCTCTACATCGAAAAATATAAAACAAATATTTTTTTTTTATATTTCCTTTTTAAAACAACATAGATAATTATGCATAGCTAATTAAATACTGAATTAAATATTTATCTTTGCAGACAATATGCTCTGGGTTATAGAACATGATGTGAAAGCGTATCGTAATGCACCTTGTAATACTTTGGATTTTCAGATTTAAGGCCAATGCGAAAACCCAAAGACGCCGACATTTTATTATGCTACTGTAATCGAAGATCCGGGGGGCATACAGTTTTTGTCCTGTCCACCTGTCTATTTGTCTGTTAGACTGTGTTAGCCTCTTTGTCCGCAAAAACTTTAACTATGCCCATAAAATTTGATTGGTTGGAACTACTGCTTTCATATTTCTTATGTGTATTCCTAGTAACAAGGACTTCCTTCAGGTACCAACATATTTGACCTCTTGACCTTGAACTTGGGAGTTTGATTCTCTTTCGCAAAATTTTTCCAAACTATAACCTTGGCTAAAACTTTTGAACAGTTGGTGCTATGGCTTTTATACTTCACATCTGTATCCCTTGTGATAAGTCTCCTCCTTGGGTATAAATATGTTTGACCATTTGACCTTGACCTTGGAGTTTGACCAACTTTTAAACAGCTTTAGCCTTGACAATAACTTTTGAATGTCTAGTACTAGGGCTTTTATATTACATAGGTAATTTTCTTGTGACAAGGCCTGTCATTGTATACCTTTAATTTTGACCATTTTACCCTGACCTTTGAGTATGTCCTACTTTTGAAAAACTTTAACCTTGGTTTTAACTTTTGAACAGTTGGTGCTAAGGCTTTTTTAATACCACATGTGATACCTTGTAACAATTAAGACCTTCCCTCAAGTACAAACAATTATGATCCCTTGACCTTGGAGTTTGACCTTTTAAAGAAATTAACCTTGGCCATAATTTTTAAACTGTTGCTGCTGTGGCTTTTATACTAGTTTATATTTCACAGTATATTCTTTGTTCAAGACCTTTATTTGGGTAATAACATTTTTTTTAATCTTTTGATCTTGACCATGGAGTTTGACTTGCATTTGAGAAACTTTTAACTTTTGCCATAAGATGCCATATGGTGGCATAAGTGTTTCAAAAATCACACGCTGTTCAGTATCCAAATCGGGCATAGAACATTTACAATGATCCTTTAAAGCAGTGAGTTGAACCTAATAAATTACGACTATAGAAATTATGATAATTTATTTCGATGTATGGTCTTAAAAAACGTTTATTATACCTCTGTGAAAACTAGCTTACAAGTGAAAAATCACTAGTAAAATAGAATTTGATTGGCCGAGAAAGTCACGTGTCCATCATGTTTGCCCTGCAACAAAACGTCGTGTTTCACGATTGTGACGTCACAATTAAACGACTGAGGAGTTAGATTGTTTATAGCGACGCTGCTAACTTCGTTTGCACGGTAACAACAACTAAAAATTCACCCCCAAAAATCACCTTAAGTAATGGAATTGCATACAGATAGTAGATTAAACGTTCTTCGTTAAAATGTTTGCACTTTTCAAAATTCGTTTATGGAAATATAGCTAACATACGTCATGAGACGTCACTGTCTAGACGTTCCAAATGTCTCGTGCTGTTTGAAGAGGCGGATCTTAAAATTAAGTGAACAATGCACTCGCCCAACGGTCGCACCGTCAACATATTATCGTTGATTGATTGTGTCGATTTAAATGTGTAAAAAAGTAATGGTGTTTGAATGTTACTGGTGTGATCACACAAACTTGTCAAGTAGGAATTTTTTTTAATGAAACGAGGCTATTGGTGTACCTGTAACTTACATCTCTTTCATATCGTTCTCATCAAATGCATGTTTGCTTTATTCATTGGATCTCCTGTGTAATTCCTGCATTTTGGTTAATTCGGTATTATAAACAATTTATTGCATAATAGTGAGGGAAGCAAAAATTTCTTCGCAAATGAAAAATCATATTTCTCTCGGACGTTGCCTTCGGGGAGTATGATTTTTCATGGGCGAAGAAATCTTCATGTTGCCCTCGGGGAATATGATTTTTTATGGGCGAACAAATCTTCATGTCTCCCTCACTATCATGCAATAAATGCAAACTGTGAACTTGTCAATTCCGAAACACACAAAAGGGTATCGCTGATATCATACAGAGTGTATCATTGCCTTGATCAGGCCCATAGGAAGCAAATTCAGGGGTTTTTTTTTGGGGGGGGCACAGCCATACATTTTCAGTTGACAGTTGAGGGGGCACTACTACCATAAATTTCCTGACAAGCAAAAAAAAAAGGTCACCAACTACCAAAAATTCCTTGACAAGCAAAAAAAAAAGAAGGTTATCAGACGTTTTTATTGAGGTGGCACAATCTATAGTATCTATGTCTACTATAGTAATCTATATATCGGCAAAATTACTGGGGGCACGCCCCCCCCCCCTCCTTCGGTTCCTACGGCCATGTTGATTAAATTTAGGGTCACTAAGGAAAGAATGTTTAGACTGGATGAATGGTCTGAAAGAACATGTGTTAACTTGTCGAGTCGGTAACACATAGATGGGTTTGCTTATAACCGAGTGTGTCATGGTTTGATGCAAGGTCATTTGAACGAGTTCAAGGTCATCAACGGAGAAACAACATTCCTTAACTGTCTTTCTACTGGTGAGACATTGCAAGTTGATACCCCTTAAAGATTGCTTATAACCTTAGAATGTGGCATGACCTTGACTCAAGGTCACTTCTTCCTGTTCGCAGCTCCAACGGAAGACCTACTCGTTGCTTTGCAACGAGCTCTGCTCTAGTTGGTATTACTTTTTTTAGTTAAATTAAAATATTTTAAGAAAAATAACTCTTGCTAATGGAAGTATTATTTTCCCATCAGCTCAAGTAACATTGTGATATTCTGACTTAGGAAGTAGCTCTTAATTATGTTTTCTAATATGAATTTAAGATATTCTTCCTATTCTTTGTGTAAAAATTCTACATATCATGGCCAAATAAAAATTATTTTTAAAAAATAAAAGCACTAGTTCATACCTCATACTATTTTCCATTTGAATGTAATGCTATAATTCTTGATGAAAATCAATTTGGGAAATTTAGAAAACGTTTGTGAAATTTAGAGCAGAGGGTCGTTACTTCTTAATTTTGATATGGTTCCTTTGTGAGAACATCATGAATCTAGAGTATGATGAATCTTAATTGTCATATCTTAAAGATATGTTATAATGGCAGTTACACTGTAAATAGTGAAAAGTAATGATTAAGTACAATTCATGCTAATTCAGCTTTTAATATTAAATATTTAAATGAGAAATAAGGTATAAACATAATACTTTTAGAAAGAGAAAGAGTTTCCTCATAAATATATATAGCCTTGTCACTAGCATGATCTAATTACAGATGAAAACTTTTTGTGAAAGTGAGTCATATAGGTAATAAATAATCAGTAAAATCTAAACAAAAATGCTTAGTCTCTAAAAATGTCTACAAAGAAAATAAACAATTCAACAAAAAGAATACATTTTGCAGAATGTACCAGTACTACGTATGGTCAGGATTGTGCCAATAAATGCACATGTGACATCACTAACTCAAGGTCATGTGACAAACAAAACGGGACTTGTTACTGTAATGATGGTTGGATGGGAGCCAATTGTACAGAAGACATCAGAGAATGCGATAACAACCAGAATATCTGTGGAGCTAATGCTAACTGTTCCGAGGTTCCTGGTTCATATGCATGTAATTGTGATCCTGGATATAAGAAAAGTACCAATGGTTTATGTGAAGGTAAATAAATTATTAATATTTGTTTTTTTTAAATATGCCTATGGCTTAAATGCTGACACAGCGTTAAAAAGTATATTCAATCAATCAATCAATCAAATTATGCATGTTAATGCTACATGAACATCCGCGTGTAGATTTTCTTATAAGTAGTTAACATGTCATATAGTTTTATGATTAATTACAGCTGATTTTTAAGAGTTTATAGATCATTATGATCGGAATCTTCTAAACAAATCTCTATAATATTTTACAAATACCAAAACCTTTCCCTCTTCTGCCATATATATGGGAACAAATCACGTACGTATGTGAAAATGGAAAAAAGTAACATTTATGTTGACATGATCATTAAACATCTCAGACTTCTGAAATGTAATTAGCGGAGAAACGAAACAAACAGGTAACAAAACTGGATTTCTATGAAATAAAGTGGATACCTTTTTCTTAAGTTGATAAATAATATAGACTGAAATTTGCATTGCTTTTGCGTTGGTGACTCTGTATGTGATCCTTTTTAAAAATAATAGAGCACATAAGGTGATGTATCAATTTCTTACTGGGTAAAAAAAATGCAACGAAAGTTGAAGAAGCTTCTTGAGTTTAAAGATCTTATAGGTTTTTTAAAGAATCCAAATGTCATACATCCGGATCGAAAAAGTGATAGTGGTAAACTCTGTAAAGGACATGAAATATAATAATGTGCTTTTAGTGAATTACTTTGAATTTACAAACATCATGCCTAAAGGCTGAAAAATGTTCTTGTTAAAAAGTGAGATGGAAAGGTCAAAATACATTGAGGAATACCAACTGACTTTTCAGTTTCTTACGTGTGTTTGGAGATATTGTAAAAGAAGTGTGCAGGTAGAAGTTTTTTAATTCCATTTTGAAGGTCAATTGTAAAAGACGCTAATAAAAGATTTAAAATCTTAGATGATTAGAACAGTGTGAGCACTCTGCTTATACATTTTTCAAAGAAGCAAGATAACACCAGAAAAATGACAAACTTAAAGAAAAATGACAGAATTTGTATGAATGATCTTAATAGTAAAACAATTAGTAGTATTAGTATTACTAGGAACTGCGTTCTATGAAGTAAAACTAGTGAATGAAAAATCAGGTTCTGCCATGTCCAATCTCTTTTATAAAAAAGATTTAGTCCAATATGTTTTTACAGACTTTAAGATGTTAATAACTCAATGCTTTTTTTTATGATTTATAATAATTCATGCACCAAAATCCTTCACGGAAAGGAATTTTATTCAACGATAAAGAATATTTTTTACCATTTTACCAGTGAAGTAGTATGATGTATAAACAGAAAAATGAACTCAAATTAATTTTTTGACTCAAAAAAAAAAGAGTTTTCATTTTTTCAGACATTAACGAATGTGTACTGGGAAAAGACACATGTGATGCAAATGCTGATTGTACAAATACTGTTGGAAGTTTCAATTGTACTTGTAACGTTGGTTTCAGTGGAGATGGTTTTTCTTGCACGTGTAAGTATATATAACATTGCATAGGCTCCATATGTATCTTTTATTTCAATGACTTTGTGAAATTTTAAAATAATAGTTTAAAAAATACATCGATTCCATGAATGCACGATTAAATGAGATATTAGGTTTAGGTGTTTGCTTCTAAACTATCAATAATTATGTATTTCTGTACAATGGAAATAAAATTTTTAGCATTTTTTTTTACATAGTAAATAGTTTTTAGCTCACCTGAGCCGAAGGCTCAAGTGAGCTTTTCTGATCAAAATTTGTCCGTTGTCTGTCGTCGTCGTTGTCGTAAACTTTTCACATTTTCAGCTTCTTCTCAAGAACCACTGGGCCAGTTTCAATCAAACTTGCCACAAAGTATCCATGGGTAAAGGGGATTCAAGTTTGTTCAAATGAAGGGCCAAGCCTTCTTCCAAGGGGAGATAATCATGAATTCATGAAAAATTAATGGCATCATTTAAAAATCTTCTTCTCAAGAACCACTGTGCTTGAAAATATGAAACTTATATGGAAGCATCCTCAGGTAGTGTAGGTTCAAGTTTGTTCAAATCATGACCCCCAGGGGTAGAGTGGGGCCACAAAGGGCGATCAAAGTTTTACATAGGAATATATAAGAAAACTCTTTAAAAATCTTTTTCTCAAGAACAGCAAAGCCATGATTTGTCATATTTATATGGAAGCATCCTCAGGTTATGTAGATTCAAGTTTGTTCAAATCATGACCCCCCGGGGGTAGGGTGGGGCCACAATGGGTGATCAAAGTTTTACATAGCAATATATAGGAAAACTCTTTAAAAATCTTCTGAAGAAGAACAGCAAAGCCATGATTGGTCATATTTATATGGAAGCATCCTCAGGTTATGTAGATTCAAGTTTGTTCAAATCATGACCCCCGAGGGTAGGGTGGGGCCACAATGGGTGATCAAAGTTTTACATAGCAATATATAGGAAAACTCTTTAAAAATCTTCTGAAGAAGAACAGCAAAGCCATGATTGGTCATATTTACATGGAAGCATCCTCAGGTAGTGTAGGTTCAAGTTTGTTCCAACCATGACCCCCGGGGGTAGGGTGGGGCCACAATGGGTGATCAAAGTTTTACATAGGAATATATAGGAAAATTCATTAAAATCTTCTTCTCAAGAACAACAAAGCCATGATTGGTTATATTTATATGGAAGCATCTTCAGGTAGTGTAGATTCAAGTTTGTTCAAATCATGACCCCTGGGGGTAGGGTGGGGCCACAATGGGCAATCAAAGTTTTAAATAAAGATACATAGGAAAAATCTGTAAAAATCTTCTTCTCAAGAAGAACAAAGCCATGATTGGTCATATTAACATGGAAGCATCCTCAAGCAGGGTAGGTTTAAGTTTGTTCCAATCATGACCCCTGGGGGTAAGGTGGGGCCACATAAAATAATAGAGGAAAAATTTGCAAAAATTTTCTTCTCAAGGACAGCAAAGCCATGATTGGTTGTTTTTTATGGGTGCATCCTCAGGTAGTGTAGATTCAAGTTTGTTTAAATCATGAACCCCCCCACCCCCACCCCAGGGGTAGGGTGGGGCCACAATGGGCAATCAAAGTTTTACATAGGGAAAAGCAAGCCTTTTAAAATCTTCCTCTGAAGAACAGCAAAGCCATAATTAGTCATATTTAAATGCAAGCATCCTCGGGTAATGTAGATTCAAATTTTGTTCAAATCATGACCCCCCAGGAGAATAGAGGGGCCATAACAGGGGATCATAGTTATACAAAGGAATACAAATGATATATCAATAAAAATTGTCTTCTTAAGAACAGCATAGCCATTATTTGTCATATTAATTTAAAAGCATCCCTTTGAAGTATAGATTCAAGTTCAAATCCCCCCCCCCCCCCTCAAACCACTTTTATATCAGAACTTTTAAAGACTGAACTGATCTCTGCTTTTTCCTAGTCAGAGTACTCAGGTGAGCGATGTGGCCCCTGGGCCTCTTGTTTTAATATCTTTTGTAGTTTACCAATGTACATATACATATAATTCATTTTCAATATAGGGGAAATATTGTACATGTAAATTGATACTGTAGTTAATAAAGCGAAAGTACCTGTTTTACTAAAGGGATTTAATTATAATTTGATTATGCTTTACAACAATTCCCATCGTGGAACATTTTTGTATCTCAAAAAAATAAACAGTCAGAAGACAAAATGTCAATATAAGATTTATAATGGTTACTTAATGATTAACATTTTCTTTGCAGCTTGTAACAATACACATTTTGGAGAGGAGTGTTCTTCATTATGTAGCTGCATAGAGGCAAACACTGTGGACTGTGATGATGTTACTGGGAAGTGTACCTGCAAAACGACTTGGAATGGTACAAATTGTGATGTCGATATCAATGAATGTGACCTTGGTACTCACAACTGCAACAAGACTTACCAAAACTGTGAAAACAACGATGGTGGTTTTAAATGTGTCTGCCGTTATGGAGAAAGTAGCGGTGTTTGTAAGGGTATGAATTTAATTTTATAGATATGATCTCATAATTTATTGATAATTTTAGAATTCAAACCTTTTCAACATGTCGTTTTTAATATGAAACATAATTTAAAGCTAAAGTTTAAAAGATTCTTCAAATGAATTTTAAAATTTTAGTCAAATATTTATATTATTGCTTTCTTAAAAAAGCAATTATCGAGTGATTGTCAAAATAAATGTATTATTTTTTATGCATTATCTCCTTGAAAAACATTCGAAATAAAAACCTTTTATTTTCGATTGATAATCATATTTCCTTTTCATATCTTTTATATTAAATAGATAAAGATTGTATGTTTAATAATTAAAAAAGATGAAATGCAGCAGCTTTGTTGAAAGAAATATGTGAGGCCATTTTTAAAATACAATGTAATGTTTACTTGCCCTCTCCCGACTCAGAGTAAAAGAGTTGGGTTTGTAGGTAGTTAGGAAAACTTGAATAGATTTGTTAACAGAATGAGGAAATTCAGGGGAAAAAGGAAGAAAGGAAAAAAATCTCATGTGGTGGAGGTTATAAAAGGGTATGAGTCGTGCCATTTCTAGCCAGTCGGTCGGAAAAGGGCAAACATTTTTTTTTGAAGATGGTCTGATGAATATTACTTTATTACATACTTAGTAATAAATACAGGTGTTTTGCATATGCGATATGCCTGACGTCACAATAACCGTATCAACTTCCAGGGTTGATACGGATCCTGCAGGGCTGATATGGATTTGCAGGGCTGAAACAGATTTATATCACACCCCTTGTAGATCAAACCTTAAAACAGTACTTGTGATAATACCTGCAGGGCTGATACAGATTTATATCACATCCTTTGTAGATTAAACCTTGAAAAACAGTACTTGTGACAATACACCAATTTTTTGGTTCATATTCTCTTAATTTTAAATTACTGTTCTTCAATATAATAAGCTACATGTTAGTAGTCAGTGCATGATTATTTATTTGTATTTTTCTCAAGTTGATGTTTGCTGCATTTTATTACTAAGTATGTAATAAGTATAATAAAATATACCCTTTTCCACATCACATCCTGTATCAGCCCTCGACCAAAATCAGCCTTTGGGTCTTCGGTCCAGGGTATGTATTATTCTCTATATTTTACTCGTAGGAGGATGTAACGATACACATTATGGTTATCAGTGCAACCAAACATGTCCTTGTGATTTGACAAACACCCCTAATGTAGATTTTCCAAAGGGTTTGGAAAAGTTTTGGAATTCCATGGAATTCCAAACATTTCCATACAAGAGTCTAAAAGTGTTTTTGGAAGTTTTTGGAATCTTTTGGAATTTGAATAACAAATTTGGACTTAGACATTTTGAGGTTTGGAAAGTTGTGGAATTCTATGGAAAAGCTGATAAAATGAGAAACTTAGACATTTTCTGCTCTGGAAAGCTGTGGAAAATAACTTAGAATTTTTTCTTAAACTGTCGGCTCATAGTACAATTACGTCGGGATCGATGTCGGGCTCGATGAACAATTAATTTAAACTACAGCCCGCCAAAATTCAACAATTCGGCTGCCATGTTGTATTGTTGGACAGAAGGAAAGAGAGTGTCACGAAGAAGGGAACTGCTGTTATTATTAGCTTGGAATGGAATTTGTATTTTGACAAAAGATGCAGACATTTTAAGACCCGGTAGGTACAATGTACAGTAATCAGTATTTTATGTGTTCTTGAAGTTGAATGGATAATTGACTGTTCCTCAGTCTGCAGTCTAGTCGAACCCCCGAACGGGGGTATACCCCCAAACGAGGGTTTTCCGTCCCGTCATGCAATGCGCAAGAACAGTAACTCTTGCCGTATCCAACATAAACAAACTTGCCTTTATATCATTTATCTAAGGAAAAAGATCGATAATAATGTTATTTCTGCTATGAAATTGGTAAAATTTCAACAGGAAAAAAATTGACAGGTTAAGTTTTCCATAGTTTGAATTTATACTGTAGGAATAGCGAAATATTTTCCGTCATTTCATGAAATTATTTATTATTTTGTAGGACGTCTCGTGGAATTTAAAACACAAGGAAAAATATTCTAAGAATGAGGAAAATATTAACTAGAACCTAGATTTAAATAAAATAAAATACGATCGTGTTTTCTCAAACAATCATATTTATTAATATAAAAAAAAAACAAACTACAACAACATGTTGCCAAACATTTTATTTAATTCTTATAAGATATAAAAGACAATAAATACGATAGATTTCATTTGAATTTTATTTTTATATGTATTTTTGTTACACTTCCTGGGCATGATTATCGATAATAAAGACCGTTGATTGCTAGTCAGAGGAAACGCGGACTGAAACCCACGATAATAAACAATTCGATATTAGCACCATTTTTTCTTGCATTTTATTATGAAAATAAAAGATATAATGTAGAATAATACATTTTTTTTATATAATTTCAATTTAGTATTAGTTGCTTATGTCTGTTTATCGAATGTTTTATCTTAAATACCTGCATGTCAAGGAGCAAAAGATCGCCAACTTTGCCAGTGAATAAATCCCGATTTGTACAATAAAGTTGTATTTTTGTAAAATACAAACTCTAAAAACACCTTTAATCTATCATTTCCGAGTGGTTTTACATTTGCCAAATAATCCGTTACTTTGCACCGGCGATTTTTGTAAACCCCTACTTTTTGCATGAAATACGCACATTTTTAAGCATCTGCACATGCTCGTACCCCCGTTTGGGGGTATGGATTTCCCATTTCCGTTTACCCCCGTTCGGGGGTTCGACCAGACTGGTCTGGGCACCACACACATAGAATGCCCGACGATGAAACCATTAGGGCGAGTTTCATTTCTTTAATAATTATTGTACAACTCTAAACATCTCTTATCAAAATATGTTTGAACAATGTGTGGATTTCAACCCAAATTTCCTCCGTTCGTACATGTCCTTAGACCTCGCTATATATGCTAGTGGCACGTTGCCAATTGCGCCACGACAGTCCATGCTACATCGTACACAGACATCATAACACTATTAGTGTCTCCAATATGTTGCAACATGCAACATCTAAATTGGCTATCTTTACCATGTTTACAACAAAGAAAAAACGTGTAGACGGTGGTAGACTAATAATGCTCTATAAGCTGTCTATATAATATGCTGACGGTGCGACCGTTAAAGCGAGCGCAGATACCTTTCAGTTTTAATTTGGATCGGGCTCGTCAAACTGCACGTGACATTTGCTATGTCTAGACTCTGACGTTATATGACGTCGTATGTTTGCTACATTATCAAAACGAAGTCTGAACAGTGCTAATTTTAATCAAGAACGTAAGATCTACTATTTGTCTGCTATATATATTCATTAAAACAAGGTCAGTTTATTTTTTGTCGAATTTTTTTTAACATTCCTTAGTACATGTACTACTTACATTTACAGAGTACATTGTAAATAATTGTATCTATTTTTTAATGCATGTTCATGATCATTCACAGCACTTACTTTTATTATTTTATAGCTGAAGTACTCGATTTGCACAGCGCCGGCATATAATCATCAAGTTTGATGAAATGTCCTAATATGTAGATGTAGATGCTAAGTCATTCAGTCACCTAGCTTGTGAGAATGGTGAGAGCCTGCTCAAATTATCATTCAGCACAAATAAACTAACATTGTTTTTATTAATTAATGTTTTATAGCGTAAGATTTTTTTTATTGAGCAAGTAACAAGAGGTTTATATTCTTAATTCCTTAATAATGCATAACAATTATAACTTTTGACAGGTAATCTAAACATGCTAAATGCTACATGCATAATCATTTTACATTTTATTTAAGTATAAATATTAAAAATGACTATACTCTATGACATAAAATCATGCATGCATTATTTACAGGAATGCTCACAAAAAGGACAAGAGCGAGAGAGCTGTATGGAAATTTACACAAAGGTAAGATTTTTTAATCATTTTCCTAATCAATAAAATCAAAAGAATTAAAATTATGTGTTTATCAATGTTAGCCAGGCATTGAGAAAAGTTATTATGAACCTTAGACTCCACTCTTTCAAATATATTTTAGTTATTTTAAGAAGTTGTTGCTTTTAACTTGTTTCCTATGTCAGTTCTCTGTCCTGTTCACAAGTTTTTACCTACGCCTTGTCAATGTCATTCATCATATTCTTACACAAACCTATACCCTTAATCGCAGATATAAATTTCCAGAAATAAAGAAGTACATGTATACATGTACTAATATATTATCTTACTCAATACTGAATTATTGAGGCATGGAAGTTACATGTATTTATAACAGTTTATTTAATATTTTCTTAATTTTTCAAAAATAAAGTATATGTACATGTATTTGCATGTTTGAAGCCTAGAACAAATGTATTCTATATATTCACTTTATGTTATTTGCTTTGTCTATATTTTTGTTACATTGTAAATTAACCAATGTGCATTTAAAGCAATTACATATGCCTATAAATTCGTCTTTTCCTCTTTTCAAGGGTCAGTTAACGGAGTAAGCTGATATGGAGGATAATATATCAAAGGCAGCATAGGCGTCCAAACTCCTGTTCAAGGTGCTTTTAATCAGAAGCTTAAGAGACAAAAGACGAGCCATTGACAAGGCAAAACTGAATGTTTTTTATGGTATATAAATTATATTTACTAATGTACTTTTTTTCATACCTTAACTTTATTTGCTAAATGTTTTTAAGGGTACATAGTTTATGTAATTTACAATGTTCTCTCTCATATTCAAGGTTAATTAACTTAGACACAATCATGTCTCTTTATTTTTTTTTAATTTCACAACTTCCATTAGTTTAAAAAGAAATCAATCCTAATCTGAACAAAAAATTACAAGATAATAAATTCCTATTCTACAGTATTAAACTGATCTGCCAGGTTGAAAGAACCAATTGTCTTATATAGCTTTAGTTTATTATTTGTCATATATTTATACATGAGATAGATATCAAACATCTTTATGGTAATCTTTTCTTTCAGAAATTGAGCAAGAAAAGTTTGAAGTGTCTTTGGGAATGATCAACATCAAACTTGCTGAGCTTTTGAAGCCGTCGTACCAAAAGTGAATCCATTCGTGACACCAATTATCTGACCACCCTCTAACAGAACCAGTGAGGAAGTGATTCTAGCCAATACTTCAGAAGTTTAGGACCCTCAATAATTAGGATCTTGGGGCATGTTGGGGAAAAAAATAGCATGTGTTGATTTTATGGGATCTTTCAAATATAGTTGTGTAGTAGATATTTGTGTACTTAATACATATGTTTGTCACTCTAGTCATTAACTTTGTATGGTAAATGTATATGGACCACTGGAAGATCATTGTAACTGTATACAAATGTTGCAAATATACCCTGTTAAGGCTTTAGTGACCTTTCCCAAGGTCATTCAATGAAGCAAAAGGTCATAATTAATGTTTTTTTAAAAATCTATTTTGTTTTATTATTAAAAAATGTCATATGTTTGAGATTACTCTAGGTACAAAGGATTTTCTTTAACCAAAAGTCATTTGTTTCTCATGCAGACCGTAATTTACTACATGTACATGCATGTATATTATAATAATTCTCATTAATTAAACCAAGGTGATCATCCAGTAATGATATTTTTCTGTGGGTTTTTAACATTGTTTAAATAATCTTTGATGTAAAATACTTTCATTGATAATACTTTTTAAAATTTGTGCTTTCATTATACATAGAATTGTGTATGCAATATTTGTCCCCAAACACATTGTAAAGCAAAAATGATTTTTTATTTTGAAAATATAGATTTGATTTATGAAAAATTGTGATGTAGTCATTTTTTTTTTGTAATTATTTGGCCCTTAAATTATTTTGATTATTCCAGTTTTTGTATTTTCCTGGAATTCCTTGGATTTCCGTGGAATTCCATAGATTTCCAAATATCCTGGAATTCCATGGATTTCCAGCTATTTCTGCAAATTTCTATTCTGGCATTGTTCCGCTCTTTTCCAGGCTAGATTTGAAATTCCATACCATTCCAAAAAAGTTCCGTCCCAATACTCTCGAGAATTCCTCGGAATTCCATGGAACACTTTTTCCATGGAATTCCACGGAATTTGTTATGGAATTCCACAGATCTTACGGAAAATCTACATTAGGGACAGCAGCCTGTCACGATGATACAGGGGCATGTACATGTAAAACAGGTTGGACCGGAGCGGACTGTAGTACTGATATTGATGAATGTGCTAATAAAACGGACAATTGTAATGCAACTATAGAGACCTGTAGCAATGTTGATGGATCGTGGAGTTGTGTGTGTATATACGGAAATAGCAGCACTGGATGCAATGGTACTAATGATCGCATAAGATCATTTTTCAATGTTAATGAACAATGAGCCTATGCACCTATTAAAAATTTAATATTCCCATGGGTCATATATTGAATATATTGAATTCATAATACATCTTTAATAATCTTCTTTTGTAATCGTTGACATTTACAAGCAATCTGAAAAGTAAACATGATTAAAAAAACCCACTTAATCTTCTACCAAAATTATTATAATTTTACTTACTTAAGTCGACTTCACATTTATGTTTTCTTAATTCTACATGAAAAATTTTCTCAGTTTATAATTTTAATGATGTGTATTAATTTTCAAATAACCATTAACTCTCAAATATTGAAAATAAACACACCTTCAACACCAGAAGTACTGCGTATACTTACATTGCAGAAGAGCAAGAACACAATGTCAGTGACACGAACACTATTCATTCTGCTTTTAGATATATTTTGTTTGACACACAGCGTTAGAATTATTCACATGACGTTATTCTTGCTTTTCTACAGAAAATCAAATGACAACTAGTAGACTAATTGTTCTCGAACAATTAGAGGTCTTTCCACCTTCTTTAAATTTCATATATTCTTCACATTTAACTCTCTACTGTTTATTTTTTTTACAAAAGAAACCAAAAATGGCTTGAGAGATGGAAAAAAAATGAAAATTTTAACAATTTTGAAATGACCTTGACCTTTGACCTTGAACCAATATTCAAGGTCAAAGGTCAAGGGTCACATTGCAATTAACCTCATGCTTCTACGACTTAGTTTTAAAATTATAAGGTTTAATAGGAAGCGCAAAGACGTTAAAGGGCGATAACTCATATAAGGGGTCACCGGATACTTTCGCACTGAATAGATTGAAGTTGTGTCTAAAGACCTTGAATACATTAGTAAAGGTTTCATGTCTCTGCGGTTTACGGTTTCGGAGGAGTGGCGATAACAAGGTTTTTCGCACAAGGGGAAATAACTTTTAAAAGGGTTAAGCTTAGGGGACAAGATTGAAATCTTTGAAATAGTTTTAAAAGTACATATAAAAGATGCAAAGATATACTGTATATGTTGAAAGACAAAAAAGCTCTAAAAAGAGCTTTATTTCTCATATTTGGAGTGACCTTGACCTTTGACCTTGACATAATCTTCAAGGTCTAGGGTTAAAGAATCTAATACAGTTGGTTTCATGTCTCTAGGACTTATCGTTTTGAAAATTTTTCATTATTTGTAAACTGCAAAAACTTTCAGGGGCAATAACTCATAAAAGGGCTCAATAAATCCTTTTGTAATGATAGATTGAAGAGTCTTCTCAATTAGTCGAAGACATTGGTGAAGGTTTCGTAACTCTACGGTTTACGGTTTCGGAGGAGTAGCGATAACAAGGTTTTTCGCACAAGGGGCAATAACTTTTAAAAGGTTTAAGCTTAGGGGACAAGATTGAAATCTTTGAAATAGTTTTAAAAGTACATATAAAAGATGCAAAGATATACTGTATATGTTGAAAGACAAAAAAGCTCTAAAAAGAGCTTTATTTCTCATATTTGGAGTGACCTTGACCTTTGACCTTGACATAATCTTCAAGGTCTAGGGTTAAAGAATCTAATGCAGTTGGTTTCATGTCTCTACGACTTATCGTTTTGAAAATTTTTCATTATTTGTAAACTGCAAAAACTTTCAGGGGCAATAACTCATAAAAGGGCTCAACAAATCCTTTCGTAATGAATAGATTGAAGAGTCTTCTCAATTAGTCGAAGACATTGGTGAAGGTTTCGTAACTCTACGGTTTACGGTTTCGGAGGAGTAGCGATAACAAGGTTTCTAGTGAAAGGGGCAATAACTGCGAAAGGGGTCATAGGTTATACGCGTTGGGTCAAATTTGTTCATAACTTTTTATGACCTTTATGATGAACAAAAAGTCTTTTCGATAAATGTCGAAACAAAAAATCAGCGGAAGAAAAATAATAATAAGAAGAACTAGTAGACTAATTGTTCTCGAACAATTAGAGGTCTTTCCACCTTCTTTAAATTTCATATATTTTTTCATATTTTACTCTCTAAAGTTAAATTTTATACAAAAAGAATCCACAAATGGCTTGAAAGATAGAAAAAAATGAAAATTTTCAAAATTTTGAAATGACCTTGACCTTTGACCTTTACCACATATTGAAGGACAAAGGACAAGGGTCACATTGCACTTAACCCCATGCTTCTATGACTTTTAGTTTTAAAGTTATAAGGTTTAATAGTAAGCACAGAGACGTTAAAGGGCGATAACTCATATAAGGGGTCATCGGATACTTTCGCACTGAATAGATTGAAGTTGTGTCTAAAGACCCTGAAGACATTAGTGAAGGTTTTGTGTCTCTACGGTTTACGGTTTCTGAGGAGTAGCGATAACAAGGTTTTCAGTAAAAGGGGCAATAACTTTTAAAGGGGTAAATCTTTGGGGACAAGTATGAAATCTTTGAAATAGTTTTAAGAGGACATATTAATGATGCAAAGATATTTAGTACATGTTGAAAGACAAAAGAGCTATAAAAAGAGCTTAATTTCTCATATTTTGAATGACCTTGACCTTTGACCTTTGCACATATTTTAAGGTCAAAGGCCATTGAATCTTATGCAGTTGGTCCCATGTCTCTACGACTTATTGTTTTGAAAATTTTTAATTATTCGTAAACATCAAAAACTTTCAGGGGCAATAACTCATAAAAGGAGTTGACGAATACTTTCGCAATGAAAAGATTGAAGAGTCTACTCAATTAGTCGAAGACATTAGTGAAGGTTTCGTATCTCTACGGTTTAAGGTTTCGAAGAAGTAGCGATAACAAGCTTTTATTGCGAAAGGGGTAATAACTCTTTGAGGGGTCAAAGTTCATTTACGCAGGGTCAAATGCAAAAAACTTTTATGGAGTACATTCTAATGGACTATAAATCTTTTCGAAAGATCTTGAAACAAAAAAGTGTCCGGCGGAAAAATAATAAAAATAATAATAAACAGAACAATTTCAATAGGTCTTTCCACAGAAAGGTGGAAAGACCTAATAAGAAGAAGAAGAATAACTAGGAGACTAATTGTTCAGAGAACAATTAGAGGCCTTTCCACCTTTTTAAGTGTTTCCATGTCATTTGGGTTGGAAAAAAGGAGAAAAAGGAGAAAAATGAAAAAAAAAAAAAAAAGGCTCCTCCAGCTGGGATCGAACTCAAAACCCTTGGGTTGAAAGGCAGGTGCGCTAACCATTCGGCCACGCATTCCGATAACATACGTAAGTTAATTGTTTAGGACTATAGAAGAAATGCAAGCGTATTTTTGAATCGGTAGGGGAAGAAAGAAGTTCCGTAAAAGGAAATAGTTCCTGAATTTGCAAGCAGTATATAAAATAATAAGGAACGGGCTGCGTGAGAAAACGTTAACACTGTTCCCTAATGAAAATGTATTAATGGACTGTAGCCTGATTCATCGATATTGTGAGCATGCTGATTTTTTGTAAATAGCTTCGTTGTAAGCATAAAGATCGGGTTCGGATTTTAACATTTCTGACTGAATATCCTGAAATAAATATGAAACATTTAAAAAAGCATTTCTTTGGGTTTAATTAAATATGTGTAGCCCAAATTAAATTCCCAACATGCATTTTTAGAAGGGAAACACGACAATGAAAGCGAGAATTGTTTTTAATCTACCGAAAATCGCTATTTCTGGAAACTGATTAATTCTAAATGAAAATCAAATAAATTCCAAATGTAAAAGAAAGAGAGAATGCTTGGTATTAAAATGTCGTATCATATCAGGAGAATCTAATGCTACTAACGACATCTGAAGAAATAGCCGATAAAAGGTTTAGATCATTTCTTCGTTCACCTGCACTTTAATTTCAAACACAACAGAACTTGTAGTTTTTGCTGTGAAACTTTATGACTTCTATAAACTTATAAGACTCACCGTAAAACTCTCCAGAAAGTTTTTCTGAGGTCTATACTACATTTGTACCAAATATGGTGTCGATCCGAGGTCTGGTTTGAATTTTCCAGAAATATTCTACGTTGTTGTTGATGTGATTTTTTTTTTTTAAGAAGGGGGGGGGTGATGAAGTATTTATTTTATGCCTCTTTTAAACTAAGAATTGTAACTACTTCCACATCCTTAAGCCTGATTGTGACCTTTGGGTCAAGGGTCAAAGGTCAAAGGTCAAGGTCATTACAAAAAAAAACAAAAAAAAAAAAACACGAGAAATCTTTACTTTCTGTGTTTTTACCTGATACTGGAGCTGGATGCATGTCCTAACTTTTCCATTTGACCCAATGTCAAAGGTCAAGGTCAAAGTTCAAGGTCATTTGGTGAATTGCTATATTTTACACATATATAAGGGATTTCTTATGTTTTTAAATGACCTTGACCTTTGACCCTGACCTATATTTCAAGGTCAAAGATCAAATATGCCGATGCAGTTGGTTCCATGTCTCTAGGTTAGACCCTTTGAAAAAAAGTTCATTAAATGTAAGCAGCGAAAACTTTCAGGGACAGTAACTCATAGAAGGGGCCGAAGAACCCTTTCGCACTGTATAGATTGAAGAGTGTACTAAATGAGTCAAAGACACTGATGAAGGTTTGGAATGTCTACGGTTTACGGTTTCGGAGGAGTAGCGATAACAAGGTTTTATTGCGAAAGGGGTGACAACTTTTGAATGGGTCAAGCTTGGGGGACAAGAATGAAATCTTTAAAATAGTTTTAGAAGGAGAAATTCCATATGCAAAGATATGTAGTATATGTTGAAAGACAAAAGAGCTATAAAAAGAGTTAATTTTCTTATATTTTGAATGACCTTGACCTTTGACCTTGACCTTAACTTCAAGGTATAAGGTCAAAGAATCTTATGCAGTTGGTCCTATTTCTTTACGACTTATCGTTAAGAAAATTTTTCATTATTCGTAGACATCAAAAAATCTCAGGGGCGATAACTTATTAAAGGGCTCGACAAATCATTTCGCAATGAAAAGATTGAAAAG